CATACCTGTGCCTGCTGACACTGCTCCCTCGGCTACACCCAGGCTGCAGAGTCCTTGAACAACTTCCAGTCTCTCTCCTTCCCCTTGCTCAGGAGCTTACAGCAACTCTGCTGTGCAAGCTGGGCCCCGGGCAGAGTGAGGTAGCAGAGGAGCTGTGCCTGCGTCTCCAGCACAAGGAGAAGATGCTGCAGGATCTCCTCAATGACCGGAACCGCCAAACCATGGAGCACGATGCTGAAATTCGGGAGCTGCTGCAGGCTCTGAGCACCAAGGAGCAGCAGAGCAGAGTGAGTTTTGTGCAGTGCCACAGTGGGAGGCTGAGGTGGGTGACCCTGACTTTTGTTAAGCAAAAAGCAGCCCCTGGGTGGTGGGCTGAGAGGACCAGAGGAGTTTGTTCCACATGTTCCTCTGTACAGGAGAGGCTGGTGAGCAGAGATGGGAGGGCTGCACTGGGGTGGGTGTGAGTGGCCAGGAACAGTAACTGCCAGGCTGCTTTGCAGAGCTCTTGGAGTCTCCACCAACAGATAAATACTGAGATGGTTTCCCTTGGTCTCTAAGGAAGAAAAGGGAGCAGGATCCCCTGATCATGGCCCTATCCCTAATTTTCCCCCTCAATCAGGTGGCTGCAGAGAAGATGGCACAGGCTTTGGCTGAAAGGAGCTGTGAGCTACAGCTGCTGCGCCAGCACGTGTTGGGGAAGGACCCTGTTGGGACCCAGTCAGCTGGTGCCAGGCCATTGAAGCAGGACAAACAACCCAGACAAGTAAGAATCATGCACTGTGTGGCCTTGGGGCTGCAGAAAGAACTGATGCCCACAGAAGGAAGTAGGAGAGGAGAGCACCACAGAGAATGATAGAAATGAAAGTGGGATTACCAAAAAGACTTTCTATCGGAGGAGAAGAAACTGAAGAGCAGGAATGTTGCCTGAATGTTCTGATATTGATTTCATCAGCCTTTGTCACTCAGTGTCTCTTTTTGTTTTGATGGAGCAGTAATTGAATCCCTGGGGCACATGAGAGTATGAAAGACATCCACCCTTTGACCTTGCAGCATTGACCCACTCCTTCCTTGGGATGGGCTGCCTTGCTGTATTGTAATCCCCTCCCTGACATTGTCACATTCTGGAGGGGACAAGAGAGCTAAATTTAGGTCCCACTAATTCTTGGCAGAGCCTGCTGGCTGTTTGCTGTCTCTTCCACAACTGGAGTTGGTATTTTTAAAGCAGCTTTGCTAAAATCCCCTTTGAGGCTGAGCACAGCTCCAAGGCTGCATATGCCATGGCTCCTACTTGAGCAGCTGTTAATGGTTTATTGGTGAGCTGACATGTAAACAGGTTTCTGTTCCCAGCTCTAGACACTTCCAGGGATGCGTTTTCCTTCCTGCATGGTCTCTTTGGGCCACATCTGAGATAAAGATGAGTCTCAGTTGAAAGATGGTCTTGCTGCAATTGAGTGAAACCTGTTTAATCTTTGCTGTGAAGACACTTGCTGCCAGCAGCTTCCCAGTGCCAATTAAAACAAGGCCAGTGCCCTCTTCCCCACACATACAACTTGTGGGTGCAATTCACTCATTCCTGCTGCCTGGCTATATATCCCCTTCATTGTTTTTCCACATTTTAGAGGTGTCAACAGAACAGCTTTGCTGCAGTCCTGGAGTTCTGGGGAAGCTGTGTGTTCCCCATGAAAATGCAAACCTGCAGACTTTTATGTTTTCAGGAGATACTGCAAAGAGCTTGTGGAGCTCTCTTGCTTAGTGTTTGGTCACAAATATTGTCCTCATTTAAAGACCTGGATTTGAATCAGTGGCTGAGGTGAATGGAGAGTAATCCTTCT